CTCTTCTCTTTGAAAAGTAAAAGAAAAATTCTTTCATTGGTATACAATTTCCCCCTACACTCCACTACGCAGCCTTCATTCTGGACTTTTGTCATGACAGGCTTTTTAAATCTTAGTTCAAGACTACCCTCTGGCTCCTCACTTTCTAGTCTCAAGAAAAATCATACGATCACTATTCCACATATAACCTACAAATTCATTTAGCTTTCTGTGTATGTATAAATTCACAGTGCTAGCTAGCCTTAGGGATAAGATCTTTCTTTTGATCAGCTCTGAAGGTGGGCCCTTGTGTCTTCACCTTCTGGGTCTTTGGAGAACTCCCTATCTATTGGCATCTACTTTCCTCTGGACCTAGGAGTACAGGATGTGCTCTACTCCCAGTTCTTCTTTCTTGAGAGTAAGTAATAAGGTCCCTCTCTTCTCTTCTTTCTTTTCTCTCCTTTCACCTCTTGTAACATAAAAGGTGTAGCTCAAGCAAGAATGTGACTTAACTAAGGGTGGAGACTCAAGATATATCCTAACATGAATCCTGCCTCGTTAACATACAGGGGATAGGATTTTCTAAACAATACAAAATGGGGGATAATTACATCGGGTCACAAAAATAAGAGTGTAGCTATTCAATACCAGAAATTATGGCCCAATCAAGGTGACAAATATTTTGGAAGACAAAATTCAAGATATGACAATATGTAACAAAGAAAGATTTTTCTAGAAAAATGTTTTAATTTCTATAGTTGCATAAATTACTAATTTAAAAAGTTCTGTTTGTATCTTATAGTCAAGTGAAACTGACCTTTAAACCCCAAGTGCTACAACATAAATATTCTTACTAACCTGTCAAAGTACCACTACCTCTTCTCTAATTTAGCCATCGTATTTATTAGAACCGCATTATTTAACATAGAAAAAAATGTAAAATCAGTTTATACATAATTCAAAAATTTTCTTAGAAATCAAGTAATCACTACCAATATCACAGCAAAGCATTAAGACTGATAACAGCTCCTCACTATCTAACAGAAAGAGAAGTCAGAGGCAGCTAATGTAATTAATTAATTTCTTCACCTTAAAAAATACTAATGAAAGAAAATATACTCACCTCTTCAATTAACTTTTCATTTGGTGATGATGTACACAGACACACAAGGTAGGTTTGTTTAAAACTACCTTTAGAACCAATCTCTGGATGGTCAGAACACAGCTTTGCTAGAGCAGTTGCTTGACTTAACTGATTCGTTTTGATTAGATGTTTAATTCTCATATCCAACAAGATGGGGCCCTCAAAAGCTAAAAATTCATTCACTTTAAAAAAACAAGACAGTAGATTATTAACATTTGACAGTACATAATTTGCTATATAAATGCTTAGAAGTAATAAAAAAAAAAACAACCCACCCCAAAATATGTCCAAATACTAAAATTCATTTTTGGTCCCAACTTTTTGTCACTGCCATTATGACACAAAAAGAAGAAATTATTTTGCTAACAAAAAAGATGTGTTATATCTTATTATTCCTTAGATTACCACTTAGAATGACTGCAATTAACTTTTGGATGATAAAAGTTAATTTGGATTAATTCAGATGACTCAAATTCTAGCTGTTGTTATTATGTACTGTAGAGTCAAAACTGACCCATAGCTGCCCCTCCTGCGTGTTTTCAGAGGCAGTTAATCACATGGGAGAAGATTTGCTCATCCTTCTCCTGCAGAGCGGCTGGCAGATTTGAACAGTGTGCCTTCAGGATTGCAGTGCAGCTTCTTGCCCCTAGGCCACCAGTGCAACCTTAAATTCTAATAGTCAGTATGTAATAGTCATATTAAGTTCTTTTTTTCCCACAGTGTTTATTTTTTATTTTATTTTATTATTTTGTGTGTGTGTACTGTCAAATTGGATCTAACTGGTACAGGAGACTGTCCCTCCTTCTCCAGCAGAGCATCTGGTGGATTCAAACCACATACCTCTGGGATTAAAGTGCAGCTTCTTGCCACTAGGCCACCAGAGCTCCCCTAGAGAGGTTACTTTTTAATTGCAGGGATTTGCATCCCTAGAAGTATGTAATGTTAAGGCCTTACACACTTATCTGGCACCTATAAAGAATACTGATGTTCTACAAGATGACATTCAAATATTATTTGGTTCCATATTGACAGTATACTTTTCTCTTTACAAAACTGAAGTCTATCTCTTTTTAAGAGTTATTTTAGAAGAAACTGAACTATTTAAAAAAAAGCATGAAAAAATCAAGTAAGAAAAGGGAAGGTTGTCTGGAGGATAAATGTCACAAAACTGTGGTGGGTTTGTATTGTTATTTGTAAGACATCAATACTTGCTTAAGATTTAGTTATATATAACAGTAGAGTTCTATTCTGCCCAAATCCTTGGGTTGCTTCATCATGCTCAGTCACTTATAAGTAAGAATTTAATTGCTATTTTCTGCATTTGTGAAGTTCTCAGAATTTAAATGTAAATGTTCCCCCTAACTTTTCTTTACTTGGATGAAAATCATGTTTAAAGCTCTATCAGGAAATGGTTAAACAGCAAATGATTTACATACAAAAAATTTATTCATCTATTTGTATCACACTGAAACATATGTCAAATAAACAATATACAAATTAGAGGACAGAGAATGAGGGCTATCTTCCCGTAAGTATCCTTTACAGACTTGCAGTGTCTTTTATTTCAGATATAACAGTGCTCAATTTCACTATGAAAAAATTCTTTTAGTAGGTACTATAACCTCGAGGTTACTGAGTCTTAATAAACTCCATGGCACCTAACAATAACAACATAATCATGGTTTCTCAGTACCAAATCTATGGCATTATGTAAGCAATATAATACAGAGATTTTAAATTCCATCTTCAGTTTAAAGTCTCAGCTTCCTATCTGCTGCTCTTTATTCTTTACATTAGACTACACCAAGAAGTTTAGAAACTGAATACATATTAATAAAATGAAATGATTAAGTTTCTCTTGTTACAACTGTATGCCTTACTGAGATAAAGAGCATTTTTTAAAAACACATCCTTTTTGTACAACTATACTTCAAGTATCTTTTCATAGTTCAGTCTACTCTTTAAAAAGATTTTAAGTGAAGGCTTTAAGAGAAAGAGAGTTAAGACTTTCTCAGGTATTAAGTCACACATATTAAATAGACAAAAACCAAAGGTCTCATTTTTGTTTCTTTAGTATGTTTTGAAACAATTCTCTCAAAAGGAAATAGCTAAAGTCAAGTTCAAATATTCCCATAAAAACTCAAATATCAAACTTTAGTAGATCATGGTGAAGGAATAATTTAAAGATGGCAACTATGCAGCTAGCCTGATGGTGGACTCACTAATATATTAAACTCAAATAGCTCCTATAGGAAGTGACTGTCTATCCTTCTCCACAGGAGCATCTGCTGGATTCGAACTGTGTGCCTTTGAGACTGCAACACACCTTCTTATCACTAAGTCACTTTGTGTCCTTCAAATAGCTCCTGTAATCTCATATAGCAGCATGCAAATTAGAATAAGAACTTGAGCAAAGTGATTTCTGTTTATAAACCAATGTATAAGACTATAAATTGGTGAGCTCTGGTGGCCTAGTGTCAAGAAGCTATACTGCAATCCCAGTGGTAAGCAGTTCAAATCCACCAGATGCTCTGCTGGAGAAGGAGGGCCAATCTCCTCCTGTACCAGTCAGATACGATTTGATGATACACACAAATAATAAAAAATTTAAAAAGGAATATATATTAATACCATTAACTTTAAAGACTGTAGTTTGTTTGGTTTTTTTTTTTAAAAAAACTAAACATAGAACCACTGATGTACTCTAGTGTTATACTAAATTCAAGGAAATACAACAGACTCTCCTACAGTAAGGGACTTTGCAGACCATCTAGTACAGTTCCATGATTTGAGAGATGAGTGGATGGAGTTTTACATTGAGGCAGCTGAGTAGCATCAAATTTCACTCTACCTGGCTCTTTATACTTTTATCCCACAAAAGTATATTTTTACTTGTGTATAGCCTTTTTACCCATGGGCTTCATCAGAAAAGTGGGCTTTATTTTGGGGCTATTATTATAAAATAGCAATGTAAATATATTTAGCCAGTTCAATTAAGAAATAAAACGGCATTTTTCCATTAACTTTTTTGACATAAAAATATTAATTTTTACATTAAATATTTTTCTCTTTAAATACTGTATATCAGCTAAACTTTGTGATAACCAAATTACACAAATATTGAACATAAAGTATGCACCAAAGATTATACTAGATTCTGGAGTAAATTTATTTACTGGGTATCTATTACTTTTTGGAAGGAGGAGTGGCACCCACTTCCATAATAGCTTGCCTCTGGAAACCCTATGAACCTGGAGAGAGGATGAAAGACACCCAAGCTTCGAGAATTCTCCTCCATAGGGTCGCTATGAGTTGCCTGTGACTCGAGGGCACTTAACAACAACAACAACAACAACATATACTACTTTACTCAGATTCGTGCATAATTTTCTTTAAGCCTCCGGCAGACGCAGGAGCCAGAAGCCGGGCGCGGGCTCAAGCCAAGACCAGGCAACGCAGAGGACTCACACAATAGCTTCTGACACGCCTCCAGGTAACAAGCCCCAAGACGGAGCCTAAACCAGTTGGGCCTATGGGCCAAGAAGAAAAACATAATCTACACAGGAGTTCTACAGGACACATCACCATCTCTTCGGAGACAGTACAAGGAAACTTAAGAGACACTCGACACAGGAAGAAGAAAAAAAAATCTCTCTGACAAGCTGTCAGGTCATGGGTCGGACAATGGGAGATAGATTAATTCTGAAGGCATTTGGTAGAAGTGAAGTGGTATCCTGCTGGAGGTTGGAGCTGGGAAATAAGTGGGTCAAGGCACTGGGCTAAGCACTGTAACTAATGGTCAACTCCAAAATGAGGGATTTATCTTTCACTACTCCACAAATTGCTGTCTGTCAGATACTCCTCTAAATCTAAACATTCAGATTAAGACAGACTAGGAAGAAGGATTAGCCATCCACTTCTGAAACGGCAGGCCTCTGAAAACCCTATGTGCAAAGTAGCCAGGAAATCAAGAAATGTATTGCGATGGGAAAGTCTGCGGTTAGGGACCTCTCCAAAATACTGAAGAGCAACAGTGTCTCTCTGGAGACTAAGGTGCGCCTGATACAGGCCATGGTTTTTGCAATCGCTTGTTATGCATCAGAGAGTTGGACAATGACTAGGGAGGATAAAAGGAGAATTGACGCCTTTGAGCTGTGGGGCTGGAGAAGAGTATTGAATGTACCATGCACTGCCAAGAAAACAAACAGATTCATAGTAGAGAGGATTAAACCAGGCTGCTCCTTGGAGGCAAGGATTCTGGGGCTTTGTCTGACATACTTTGGACATGTTGTAAGGAGAGACAGGTCTTTAGAGAGGGACATCATGCTGGGTAGAGTAGAGGGACTGCGCAGGAGGGGAAGACCCTCTATGAGGTGGATTGATTCAGTGACTGGGGCACTCGGGATGGGTGTGTCAGAGGCAATGAGATTGGCACAGGATAGAGCACGGTTTAGGGCTGTTGTACATAGGGTCGTTATGAGTCACAAACGACTCGACGGCGCATAACAACAACAACAACAACAACAACATATTCAATTAGCTGTTTCACATGCATTAAACTCAAAATACAGAAAACTGTACAGTCACAAGACATACACACACCAGAAACATAGTGAACTTTAAATATATTCTCTGCCTCCTTCTCACCTGTACATCTACTTAATCACTGAATTTTGCAGCACTAACTTGTAAACATTTCTTTATTCCACTCCTTTTATGCTGTCTCTACTGCTACCATTCCCAACTCATTAATGTACAACTTGTTCCAGTCTGCAGTCATCCACTCCTATCGCCTTCATTTATCATATGAGGAAACTAGGGGGTTTTGTTGCTGTTTTTGTTTTTGGTTTGTTTGGTTAGTTTTTTAAAGCATAAAGTTGGTTGTCTTCTCCCATTTCAAGCCATTTTATAACTTTACCTTGCTTCAAAGGATAAATCACAAATTTCTCATCATGAGACATTTGGAATGTAAGGGGAGGGAAATTCTATTTTCTCACAGGGGAGGAAAAACGACCAAAGCTACAAATTTAATTAAAATACAATACTTAAATTCTAGATCAATTATCTTGAGATTCTGAAAAATAATAATGTGGAGGGCTCACAGGAAGATTTAAACGTAATTGTTCTGTCCAAGCACTCTTATGTGTAAAAACTCTCCAGGTAGTTTTAGGGACAGTCAGGG